ATCCTTTCTTCAAACACCCTTCTTTACTCTTTCTTTCACACTCTGTAAACCTCTTGCCTGCTAGTGGCAATCCTGCCTTGCCTGGGATGAAACGCTTATATATATATATATATATATATATATATATATATATATATATATATATATATTCATGAATTATTCATACAAAAACAAATACAAGGTTAATGATTTAATTGGCGAGAAATCCATCGTCGCGAACAATTTAAAACCCCGAACCTGTTTATGAATGAAAAAGATCCTTGTTTCTATAAATTTCTGTTGCATGAGTTGTTTTTTCTCTCAGTAATAAGAAGACAACGAAAATATATGTACTGTTGTAAAAACAAGAACAAAATCTATTCCATACCTGAGGATGTCTGTATGAACAGACGATTTTTTCTTGTAAAAAATAATAAGAACTCATGCAACAGAAATTTATAGAAACAAGGATCTTTTTCATTCATAAACAGGTTCGGGGTTTTTGTATATTATTTGAATTGTTCGCGACGATGGATTTCTCGCCAATTAAATCATTAACTTTTTGTATTTGTTTTTGTATGAATAATTCATGAATTTGTAAATTAATTGCACCTTTATTGAAAAATATATATATATATATATATATATATATATATATATATATATATATATATACTTAGTGCGCTTGAGTAAATGGATGGTGGAACAGGGTTTAGGAGAAATAACGAAAGACAAAGTTTATTAAGAGCTACGAAGGAGACGAAATTTTCGGGAGCCATATTTGCCTATATTCTAAAGGAACACGGTAATATAGGAGAAGAACATGAATCGATTCTATGCGACAAGTGGTTGTTACATTAAACTTAAATATACTGTGGTTATGTCTGATAATTCTAACGTACTTGGAGTACTCTGAGTCCAGACACGTAATCAGCGATTTCTATTTAATCTCATATGTCCTGTCCATTTTGGGCACTTCGACGTGGTGTAATGGTTAACAAGCCTGTCTCACTGGGCAGAATATTGCGAGACAGGAGGATTTCTTTGGTAACAAAGAAAAGAATACTAAACTGTTACATATCTGTCCTTCTTTACGGCAGCGAATGTTGGACGATTACCTTGAAGATGGAGAGGAGGCTTGAGTCGACAGAGATGTGGTTCTAGAGAAGGATGCTAAGGATATCATGGACCGAGCGTGTGATCAACGATGTGAGGTTTCAAACAAGGAGGAGGCTTATACTTAACATCATGATGAGGCAGCTGAAGTTTCTGGGACTCATAACGAGGAAGGTGGGGGGGGGCTGGAGAATCTGATACTCACGGGTCGAATAGAGACAAGTGAAAACAGCGCGTGACATACCTGGTGGGCTTAAACAAGTGGATAACAGAAAGTGGTGTTGGGGAGGAAGCAGAGGGAAGGAACTTGCTGAGAGCTGCAAGGGATAGAGGAAGAGGTGGAGAGCCATGATCGTCTACGTCCTGAAATAACATGGCACATAAAAAGAAGAAAAGGTGAGTTAGATTCTCATTAGGGACCCTTTCCTCTCGGCCTTGTGTCGCATCTAAGCTGCTCTTAGAAAATCCCCATATGTCTTGTCCGCTGTAATTTTTCAATACAACATTTCCCCACGCAAATGCATGCCAATTAAGCAAACTTCTGAGAAAGAAGCTCTAGAGAGTTAAGTCAGCTACGCTCTGAAGGGTCATGGCATTAATAAAAACGCGAATACAAAGAATATTGAATATGTTTTCAGGCAATAAGAGATTTTCGTGTCAAGTGATATTTATGAAATACTTACTGAGAAACCCCTGAAGGGACGAAATGCAATACATTGTGTAATCATAGATGACAGGTGTTTTCGAATATTTTATCCAACTGAGAGGAATTCATCGTTATTTTCTTTTTCAATTTATCAAAATACCAACATCAGAATAACCAGGTCTAATATCCTCATCTTTGTTATTACCACAACGTTTCGATGGTTGTGTCTATGACCTTCTTCAGGCTTATGTCGATTAAAGTAACCTTCAGGTAATTTCCAACTTAAAACTTTATTTAATCTACGTTCTACTGTCCACCTCTAGGTATATTTAGTGTTGTTCTTTTCTAATACTGCTCAGTTACTGATTACTATATTTTTTTACTGAATCTAAGCCCAGGGATCGAACACGCCATTACTATTTCACCAAAGCCTCTTTAATCTCGACTACGGTTTAATCCAGAACTCTTTAATCCCGTGCGATAATCCTGAACCTGGAACCTTTAAATGTCCTGATTGTTGCCTGCCTGCTGCTGACGCTCCTGCTGTTTCACTTATCATTCACTTCCGCTCCTCTTTTGTTACTGCTGCTGCTTTCCTTGAAGTCTTCTTGTCGTTTCGATTTATTTATTAATGATTCCCATTTATTTCTATGCTAGGTCTATTGAGAAAACATATCAGTGGCTTCCTTCGGATTCACCAAATACACGAATATACAGATATCTGAAGAAAGCTGGTAGGAACAATAGCCGAAACGTTGTAATAATAACAACAAAGATGAGGATATTAGTCTGAATATAAATAATGTAAATAATGATAATTTAATTCCTCATTTCAGAAATTTCGATTCTTTTGCATCGGAAAATAATCGATAAAAAGGAAGCCATTTTTTAGATAGTGCACTGCTTATGCGAGTGATTACGTATAAACTGTAGGTGAACTGCAAGATATTTTGGTCTGAACAAAACTGTTGAATTGCTTTGACGAAAGCAGGTTAAATTTTATAGAAAATATTTTAAATTTAAAACAAAAATAAACATTAAAGAAAATAAATGGAATTGTGTAACGTATTATTAAAAAAAAAGAAATCAGAACGGATTTTCGCTGATTACAGACAGGGATAAACTTTAGTTTCGTCTGGCACAAAGTCACTAGAAAAAGGAAGATATAATTGCGCCAGACATCCAATCATAAAGGGCCTACCTACTTTCGAAATTCTATTCAAAATACTGTTTTTAACTGGCTACTAACACTAACGACATTACAGAATGGGGCAGTATGTAGCTATTTCAGCCACAAAGCGTGTGTGTTATTGCACTAAAATTTAGCTGGCTTCTAACATTAACGACATTACGGAATGGGGCAGTACGTAGGTATTTCAGCCACAAGGCGTGTGTGGCATTGCACTAAAATTTAGCTGGCTTCTAACATTAACGACATTACGGAATGGGGCAGTACGTAGGTATTTCAGCCACAAAGCGTGTGTGTTATTGCACTAAAATTTAACTGGCTTCTAACATTAACGACATTACGGAATGGGGCAGTACGTAGGTATTTCAGCCACAAAGCGTGTGTGTTATTGCACTAAAATTTAGCTGGCGTCTAACATTAACGACATTACGGAATGGGGCAGTACGTAGGCATTTCAGCCACAAAGCGTGTGTGGCACTGCACTAAAATTTAACTGGCTTCTAACATTAACGACATTACGGAATGGGGCAGTACGTAGATATTTCAGCCACAAAGCGTGTGTGTTATTGCACTAAAATTTAACTGGCTTCTAGCATTAACGACATTATGGAATGGGGCAGTACGTAGGTATTTCAGCCACAAAGCGTGTGGTATTGCACTAAAATTTAACAACATACACACTGGCCGAAAGTGTCTAACAGAATATAAGATTGAAAAAATAAAAGATGTAATGAAGATTCTAGTCTTGCGTTATCATCTAATCAGCACCCCAGCCATTTCATTACACGTGTTATGGAATTAACTATGACCACGTTTTGTTTTGTTTGTTTAACGGGACACCAACTCCTCATGGGCCATTTAATGCAGAAATGTATTTGGGGGAGAGCTTTGAAGTTGATTGATTTGTTTAACGCCATATCAACTCCTTATGGGTCATTTAATGCCGAAATTTAGTTTTCGTGGTAGCTTTGAAGTAATAAAAATATGATATATGTCATTCTGCTTTCACAACTGAATACATGGTAAATGATACTTAGCTTTTGTGCGTATACACGTTTGTGTGGGCATAATTACTAGAGGCGATGATAAGTGTGTTTTATATTTTGGAATACAGTTTGAGTTCTTTAAGAAATTGCAGGGTATTATATGGATTAATGTCATGAAACAGTTCTTTTTCATGTTGGTTGTTTTGTTAGTTGATGTTATTTAGCGACATATCAACCTCAGTGGTTTCTTTTTGGATTCAACTTAATATATTTTGAATGCAATTGTATGCCTTCAATTACAGTAAATTGCATGGTAGTCATTTTACTGCAAATATGTATCGTTGGTGATTTTTTATAGAAAAATGTATTGCTGGTATTTTTACTATAAAAATGTATTTTAATACTTTCATAGTGCTTTGTTTTGGTTTGGGGGTTTACTATTTGTCCATAGCTGGGACTCTAACGCATGCTGCCACCCCGGGTCAGGGTGAACCTGAGAACAAAAGCAATTAAAAAGGTGGTTTCACGCGCCTCAAAATCTCCAATCTCCCAATCAGAGGACTTGCTGCTGGATGTAGTTTATCGTCATACCCAGGACTAGACTACGTTTTAACTCAATAACTTTCTTATTTAGAGTACATGCTCGACATACTTTCTTTTAGAGTACATCCTATTTTAGATACTAGCTTGTTAATATTTACTAAGTTTTGGTCAGTATGGCACATGGCTATATTTTGCAGTACTTTTCTCCTAACTGTTTTGCCTTGAAAATCACCGTTCGAAATGGATGCTTTTTACACGGGAATACGCAGATACCTTAGCCACCTAGTAGTCGCCTTTTCACTGACTATTTTGACTTTATCTATCCTGGTGAATACCAATCAATATAGAGAGGATATAAGTAAAATTAATCATATTCATCGTCGCTGCGAGGGTGGATGCATTTACAACTCGTTAGTTGTATTGGAAAATGCATTGAAAGGTGAATAAGATATTGCAATCAGGTACGTGTGAAGAATAAATTTGCAACTGCATAATTTGCATTCTGAGGGTACAAAAATCTATTCAACGAAGATAAATAAACGGAAAGAAAGAAAGAAAAAAAAGTAGGAAGGTATGAAGGAAATAAATAAGAAAAAAGAAAGAAAGAAAGAAAGAAAGAAGAAGTAAGAAAGAAAGAAAGAAAGAAAGAAAGAAAGAAAGAGGGAACATAACTAGAAAGAAAGAAAGAAAGAAAGAAAGAAAGAAAGAGGGAACATAAGAAAGAAAGAAAGAAAGAAAGAAAGAAAGAAAGAAAAAAGAAAGAAAGAGAAAGAAAAAGAAAAGGAGTAAGGAAGAAAGAAAAGGCGTAAGAAGGAAATAAAGAAGGAGTGGAAATACGAAAAAGGAAGGAAGAAAATAGAAGAAAGAACGGAAATAAATAAATAAAGAAAGAAAGAAAGAACGTAGGAAAGAATGAAGGAATGATTAAGAGATAGATAGATAGATAGATAGATAGATAGATAGATAGATAGATAGACAGAAATTGTGAGGAAAGTGAAAAAGAAAGAAAATGACTAAAAAGAATGAAATTAGAAAAGAAAGAAAGAAAGAAAGAAAGAAAGAAAGAAGTGGTGGTAGAGAAAAATACAAAAAATTAACTAGTAAGCAATAAGAGTGCATAATTTCTGCCAACGCAAGTACCAATAAAATATTAGTCGTGATCGATTCACAGACAGATAGGATGTAGGGGAGGTAACTGCGTAAGCTTCGATTTCAAATATATTTCGGACTGTTGTTTTAATACATATCTCTCAATCAAAAAAAAAAAAAAAAAAGAAGAAGAAAAAGAAATCGTGTCTCCGTTCCAAAATTTAACTTTTCTTTAGCGTAATGACCACCTTTCCAATAAATGTAATTAAAAATTAATTTAAAACTTCTGGATATATAATATATGGGGGGAAAACTTAGTGCGAATATTTAATCTCTCGCCTACTTCGTTGGCTGAGGTTAAGAAAAGATTTGACAACCATTAATTGCATTTAAATCTTAATCAACGTAGTCGACTATTACTGATTTCATGATGAAAACGCCTACCAGTCAAGAGTCATAAAACAGTGTGGTTGACTGTATCGATCGAGGCTCAAGTGGAATCAATAAGATTTTACATTAGTATTTTAAATCAGCGGTTTCTAAAAATATTAACTAAGTTTAGCCTCGTCCGACACAAAGCAATAATAGTGAATCATTCACAGACAGTTGGACTCATTATATATGATGTGAAAGATAAACATTTTCTGCTCGATGTTCTAAATGATGATTAAACGTATACAAGAGAAAAGTGATGAAAAGTTATGTAATATCAATCATCCTATAGGACAGTGAAAGCGAAGCAATTCTCTCACCGGTGAAGAGCAGACTTGACTCAAAAGAGACGTGGCTCTATAGAATCTTGGTGGGAATATCATAAAAGGGGCATATAAGCAATTAGGAAGTTTTAAGAAAAATGGGCACGGAACGATCATGGTTCTCCACAATTTCCTGTCTTTTATAGCTCTTTATAAATGTTGTCTTTTTGTTGTCTCTCCTAAACCTTTTTCCGTCATCCAGTCATACAAACTCGTTAGTGTTGTAGAGTAGTTTCACAGCGGAGGCTTGTATTTCACTAAGTCGGTCCTAAAAAGGTTCGACGTACAAAACGTTAGGAACTTGATATAAGAGTTAATGACGCACCCCAAGAAAAGTAATAAAGCCACAAAGTGACAAATCTCTGAGAATTTTGCTTTCCTTCGAGAAAACCCTCCTCTTCTTAATAGTCCTGTGTATGACGATAAACTACATCCGGTAGCAAGGCCTCTGATAAGGATATTGAAGCTTTTGAGGAGCATGGAATTGCTGTTGTTCCCATGCCCACCATGACTATGGGTGGCAGCACCTGTTAGGGTTCGAGCTATGGGCAAATAGTGAATACCCTAACAAAAACAAAACACTATGAAAGTATAAAAGTACATTTTACAGTAAAACTATCAGCAATACATTTTTATATACATATATAAAAAAAACTGCCAGCAAGACATAGTGTAGTAAAATTACCAAAAACACATATTTATAGCAAAATGACCAACAAAACTTTTTATCAGTAGTTGAATGCATACAAATGCGTTCAAAATATATTTAGTTGAAACCATAAAATTGTGTTCAAAATATTTACATTTCGGCATTTAATAAACTATAGAAGTGTTGATATGCCGCTAAACAAAATCCACAAGCCTCTCCTTAAAGCGTTTAGTTCAAGTGAATATGGCGGGTGGTATTGTTCTTGTGTCATTCTTACTGTATGCGGCTTTGCTTTGCCATTCAAGACAACAATATTGTTCCTGCTGATTTCGGGAAGAAGTTATTTCGACACGTTGCAGCTGCCGGGCTTATAATTGTGCATTTAGTGTTTCATTGCGTTTTAAGAACTCTAAATGAATGATACCCTGATGATCCTAACCGATGCGCAGCATTAGCTTTCTTGCATGGAGTTCAGGTTTTGGGGGGTAAGTTGTGCCTTATCAACTCGACAGTTGCGACTTATCAACACATTTTTTTATCAACCGTTATTATATATTAAAAGCATTGGCGGCCTTTCTTTCTTTCTTTCTTTTTTTCTTTCTTTGTACCTTTCGTTTTTCTTTGTTTCTTTGTACCTTTCGTTTTTCTTTCTTTCTTCGTGTTTTGTTTTTCTTTCTTTTTTCATTGTGTCTTTCGTATTTTCTTTCTTCTTTCTTTCGCCTTTTTTATTTATATTATTCTTTCTTTGTGCCTTTCATCTTTCTTTCTTTCTTTCGTTTTTTTGTCTATCTTCTTTTCTTTCTTTCTTTCTTTCTTTCTTTCTTTTTCTTTCTTTCTTTTTTCTTTCGCTCATTGTGCCTATCGTTTTTTTCATTCTTCCCGTCAGTGAATATGGCGGATGGTATAGAACGAATCAGTTGTTCTTGTGTCATTCTTGCTGTTTGTGGCTTTTCTTTCTTATTCTAATTTTCTTCCGTCTTTCTCTGTATCTCATTTGTTCTCTTTATTTTTCTATGTTTTTTTTTTTAGTTTCCTCTTTTCTTTCTTTCGTTCTTTGTGCCTTTCGTTTTTTTTTGTTATTTTCTTTCTTTCTTTCTTTCTTTCTTTCTTTCTTTCTTTCTTTCTTTCGTCTATTTTTTCTTTCTTTTTTCTTTGAGTCTTTCTTTCTTTCTTTCTTTCTTTCGTCTATTTTTTCTTTCTTTTTTCTTTGAGTCTTTCTTTCTTTCTTTCGTCTATTTTTTCTTTCTTTTTTCTTTGAGTCTTTCTTTCTTTCTTTCGTCTATTTTTTCTTTCTTTTTTCTTTGAGTCTTTCTTTCTTTCTTTCTTTCGTCTATTTTTTCTTTCTTTTTTCTTTGAGTCTTTCTTTCTTTCTTTCGTCTATTTTTTCTTTCTTTTTCTTTGAGTCTTTCTTTCTTTTATTTCTTTCGTCTATTTTTCTTTCTTTTTTTCTTTGAGTCTTTCTTTCTTTCTTTCGTCTATTTTTTCTTTCTTTTTTCTTTGAGTCTTTCTTTCTTTCTTTCTTTCTTTCGTCTATTTTTTCTTTCTTTTTTCTTTGAGTCTTTCTTTCTTTTTTTCTTTCTTTCTTTCTTTCTTTCTTTCGTCTATTTTTTCTTTCTTTTTTCTTTGAGTCTTTCTTTCTTTCTTTCTAAATTATGTTCTTCTAACGTTTTGACATTCCCTTACTATTGTTATTTCATAACCTGAGTTTCTTGTTCTTTTCCATTCATTTTTCTTTCGACATTTCTCATTAAAATTTTTCTAAATGTCTCATGCCCTCTTGTCTTTCACCTTTTTACGCCGTCCGCTTTCTAATTTGTGGTGTAAAAAACGACGATATTTTATAGCATTTCCACTTTCTTCTTCATTGCCACGTATGGCTAATAGTTAGGATGTTACATTTCTCATTACAGTTGGGCCCCTAAAATATAAATTACTTATGAGTCAACTTAATATGTATTGCAAGACACGCTTTCTAACCACCGTGTTAGATTCAAACAATCATTTTCGGCAAAAGACCATTTACATGGAGCTTCCTTTGAATACTGATAATCCTTAGATATGGCTGGTAATATGAATTTTCTAACAATCATTTCACCGGAAGTGCTTAAGCAGTAGTTTGTAAAAAAAAAATCTGTCATATGGAAAGTGATATAAGTATTTGTGTAGTGCATTTAGTGCTCCGGTGTCTTGAAATAATAAAGACTTTTTTTTCTTCTTCTTCCATTTCTTTTATCTTTCAGCTTTGATTATTCTGAACAAAAAAAAAAGAAAAAAAAAGAAAAAAATCGTGGACCAATTTATGCTTATTTCATTCATTTGTGAAACTTCCGTCTTGCATTGGACAAGAATACCTCGAAGGAATGAGTCTTTTTGTAGCGACTCTGGTTTTAAGCCACTCCGAAGACTCTCGAGATAACATGGAAAGTTCGGGAACAAAACTGACCTTTTCATGACCTTGTGGATGTAGAACCTGCTTCTTTCTTTCTTTTCTTTTTTTCTTTCTTTCTTTCTTTCTTTCTCTTTCTTTAGTATCCTAATTTTCTTCCGTCTTTCTTTATATCTCATTTGTTCTCTTTATTATTGTATGTTTTTTTAGTTTCCTTCAGCTTTATTTTTCGTTTCGATTATTTTGAACCTTTCCATTCACTGTTTGTTTGAGTTTCTTTTTTTCTGTCGTCTCCTTGACTATTTCTTTCTTTCTTTGTTTCTTTCTTTCTTTTTCTTTCTTTCTTTCTTTCTTTCTTTCCACATTTTCTGTTTTCTTTCTTTAACCATCTTCCTGTCTTTTATTGTTTTTCTGCTTCTTTTTCCCCTATTTTTTTCTCTTATTTTGTACTCTACATCTGCGCATCTTTTCTTTCTTTCTTTCTTTCTTTCTTTCTTTCTTTCTTTCTTTCATCTTTTTTTCTTTCTTATTGATTCTTTTCGAACGTAGAATCTAAATTCTTCAAACATTTTAGATATTTCCTTACTATTGTTATTTCATAACTTGAGTTACTTGTTCTTTTCCATTCATTTTTCTTTCTACATTTCTCATTGAATTATTTCTAAATGTCTCATCTCCGGTTACCTTTCACCTTTTTACACCGTCCGCTTTCTACTTTTACTTATCTCATACCTTCTCTTCTCTTTAGCCTTTATTTTGTCACTCTTCTTTCTCTTTCTTTCCAGAACTACTTTCTCTTCTTTTTCTACATTCAAGTAATAATTTTTCTCTTTCAATCTTTTCCTTCTCGTACTAATTTCTTTCTTTTTACTAGTTTTCTTCCTTATTTTCCTTTCTTCTCAATTTCTTTCTTTCTTTTTTTTTTTGTCGATTCTCTCTCCCGCTCTCGTTCTATCTTTTCCTTCCTTCTGCCATTTTTTTTTATCTTACTTATTTCCTCTCTCTGGCAAATAGTATTTCAAAACCAAGTTGCCCTGTAGTTCTGCCATTCATTCAATTTTTCCTTGCTTCCTTTTTAATGGCTTCAGTTTTTTTTATCGCAGAATACTGAAACTATCTCTTTCTCTCTCTCTCGCATACATACATGCACAATAGAATTTCAAAAAACACACGTTCACTTTACATTTGCACTCAGACACAAAAACATTTGTTGAGAAATCTCTAGTAGATGTAAATAATAATAATAATAATAATAATAATAATAATAATAATAATAGAAGCCAAGAACCAACTATTGCAAAAAAGATATCAAGGATCCCTTGAACAGATTGGCAAGACAAACCTCTTGGCCAATATCCAGAACGTGCAAATAAACCCAATGTTGATAAAGTTAATACTCATCGATGGTTACGAGCATCTGGATTAAAGTCTGAAACTGAAGGCTTTATCTCAGCGCAAGACCAGAGTCTTTCACTAGGAATTTTCAGGCAAATATCATACATAATAATGTGGATCCAAATGCAGGTTCTGACAAATACCAAGAAACAATAGACCATCTAATCTCAGGATGTTCTATCTTTTAAATGAATATAAAATCGTCACTGGGGCAATCTCTCTGGACAATGTCAAACACTTTTTAAGCAAACACTATGAACATCGGCCAGCGCCGGTTACAGAAATAGAAGATGTCACCATTCTATGGGATTATACCATCCACACAGACAGAAAAATTGAAACAAATAGGCCGGACATTATTGTCAAAAACCAGAAAGAAAAAAACTTGCCTACTAATTGATATGGCTTGTCCAGCGGATTTAAATAGCAACCAAGGAATTTGAAAAACTATCAAAATACAAAGACCTGGAAATTGAAATAGAAAAAATGTGAAATTAAAAACAAGAATAATACCAGTGGTAATAGATGTGGAATTATAAAAAATGGAACAAAATACATTAATAATAAGAGACATACAGAAAATTGTCTTAATAAATAACAACACATAAGGAGAACTTTGTCTATGTAACGCTAGCATCGGGATAAAAAAAAAAAAAAAAAAAAAAAAAAAAAAAAAAAATTAAATGAAATGTGGCCATAACAACACACCACGACCTGCCTTAGGTCTTTCCGCAGACTTAGTAGGTAGTGTGTCCATAAGAAATAATAAAATAATAATAATAATAATAATAATAATGATTAGACGTTACGGTACATTCGGATAAAAACATCGTGAAAGCGGGGCAGGTAAAAATGCAGGTGAGTTACCATGATTTGGTAAGGTAAATCAGAGAAATATATGATGCTGCAACTGAAATTGTCTCTTTTGGAGTTCGCACACTCGGGATTATTTCCGGGGAACATTCTCACTCGCAAGATGATTTTTGGATACCTGATATCATTAGTGATGCGTTGTTGACTGCACTGCTCGGAGCAGTCCGTGTGACGAGGAAAGTGTTGTGTCACTTGACTATACTACTACTACTACTACTACTAATAATAATAATAACAACAATAATAATAAATACAAGGATATTGAAGTGGAACTCTAAAAAATGTGTCACATGAGTACATCAACAATACCAGTTGTAGTTGAAGCCTTCCGTTTAATTAGAAAATGTTCCGATAGACTCATTGAAGGGATTACTGGTAGATTATGCCTTAAAAAATTACAAAAAATCGTTCTCACAACTTATACCACACGAAGGGAATTATTAAGATGAAATGTGTCATCACATTTTTTACAAAGATTTTCAGTGTAATTGACAATGTTCCATTTTTGGTATTAGGTCTCTGGTTGAGACCCGGAAGAAAATGAGTATACAATGCAGATCAAAGGATATAATAATAATAATAATAATAATAATAATAATAATAATAATAATAAAACGGTTGTCATTGATAATGAACGCGTCAAAACGAGTGAAACTCCGCCAGCGCGAAGGAATGCAATTAAAACGTGCTTAATATGATGGTGCATCTTGTTCATTTTCCGTTAGTTGATTAGTTACTAAAAGGAATTAATCAAACAGCTTAGTATAAATGCTAAAGAACTCTCCTATAATTCTATTAATTCCCCAGGCCAGTTGTGGTTGGAGCACTCGATTTGATTGAAATCAAGCCCATGCCTCAAAGAAATACAACCCCCCTCCCACAAAAAAACTGTCCTAACAAGTACAGCTCACACCTTACGAAGGGCGCTATCTATATCTTGTGATGTCAACGCCACTTTTTAAAAAAAATATCAACAAATACTTGTTGTCACTTTCGTAATGCCCGTTGTAGTAGAGACTTTGTAATCGCAGATACAACTATAGTAACGCCGTTGAACAATACTGGTGTCAGACACCTTCGAATATCACTCGCACTAATAGTACTTGCTCGATAATACTCGCTCGTATAGTAACCACCGAATAGTGATCCGAATAGAGAAATAGTATAGTGAATAGAGTAGAGAATAGCGCTCCGTATAGTAATAGAGGATAGAGTAGAATGAGTGATCAATTAGACGCCGCGCTAATTCCTGTATATACATTTCCTTTGCCATCACGTGATCTACTTATTCAAAATTGGATCGCCTGTGTTTGCTGGTGATCTGTGTTCAAACTCCAGTGTCGGTAGCGACATTTTTCCTATATGATACTGTGTAAAATGAATGTGATCTTAAGTTGAAGGAAATGCGTATATAGAAGAAATCAAATAATAATAATAATAATAATAATAGTAATAATAATAATAATAATAATAATAATAATGATAATAATAATAATAAGAAGAAGAAGAAGAAGAAAGTTGGAACCAAAATCATCTACATAGTCAGTTCTTTTGCAGAAGCAAAACATACTGATGTAGATCAATTCGCAACCGGTCAGTTCGGGATTTAAGGGTGAGACTGAAGGGTTTATTATTACTGCCTAGTACAAGAGCCCTGCTTACACGCAACAACCAAGCTAATATCTTGCATAATAGTACCGACCTAAAATGTAGGTTCTATGACAATTGAAACTACTGATAAGCTTATCCCAGAATGCTCCGTACTCCCATCCAATGTCCAAAAAAAACCCGCCATGATAGGATAGGTCAATATCTGCATTGGAAGTCTGTCATCACCGCGGGATAAGAAAAAAATAGCTGCGAACTGGTATAAACATCATCCTGAATCTGTAATTGGGGAACAGATGCTATTAGAGACTGGGATTTTTCTATCAACACGGATAGAACATTAAAAGCAAATCGCTCGGACATTATTATCAAAAACAGAAAAGAAACAGTTTGTACACTGACTGACATGTGCATATCAAGTGACAAAACATCTCTGCAAAGGATTTTGAAACACTAATTAAATACAAACATTCAGAAATGGAAATATAAAAATAATGCGGCACTTAAAAACTAAAACAGTTCCTGTTGCGATCGGAACTTTGGATCTGATAAAGAAAGGAACTGAAGAAGAAATCAACAAAATTTCTGCTGAGTGATCTCTCCAGGAAATCCAAATAAATAGTTCTAAAAGGCACAGCTCATGTTCAGTGAAGAATTGTATCCATTTGACTTTCTTTGTTAATAACGTTTTTTTTATTTTTGTTTAGTGGAAATAAAATAAACAACAAAAATCACACCCGTCGTTTGCCTTAAGTCATGTGACTATAAAACAAATGCAGGTCAATAATAATAATAATAATAATCATAAGTAGCACTTAAAATCTAAAACTGTCCTTATTGCGGTTGGAGCTTTGGATATGATAAAGAAAGGAACTCAAGAACAAATCAGCAAGATCCCTGTTGCACTATCTCCTCGAAAAAAAAACAAAAAAACTTACTTCTAACGAGCAAAGTTCATATCCGGCGAAGAGTTTTTTTTTTTAATATTTATGTTTTACGTGTTACTTTTGTCCAGTTAAGAGGAAATCACAAAAAAAAAAAAAAAAAAAAAAAAAAATCACAGGCTTGGCTTTTGCCTCATGTCATTTGTTATAAACTGGCATGTGATTATAAAACAAATGCAGGTCAAATGGTTTTTTAAAATAATAATGTGGCACTTAAAAACTAAAACTGTACATCTTGTGTTGTTGGAGCTTTGGGTCTGATAATGAAATGAACTCAACAACAAATTAGCAAAATCTCTCGTGCAACATCTCTCCGAGAATCCCAAAATTATTCCTAAGAAGCACACCCCACATCATATGAAAACCTTTTCTTATTTCTTATTTTCTTTTGTAAATAGCCGTCTTTTGTTTAAATGGAAACAGTAAAAAATCATATCATTTGCTTGACCTTAAGGTCATTGGTCAGGACCAGGTATGGGAGTATAAAAAAAAATGCAGGTCAAAAAGAATTTTAATAATAATAATAATAATAATAACAACACCAACTGACATACATAAATTTATATAAGACATACGTGGCTGTGAAAAGCGTGCTGAACTGTTCCATAATATCAGTCATCTTTTAGGCAAGGAATGCTGGCCAGTATCTTTACAGATGAAGATCATAACTGAGGCAGCAGAAATGTGGTTCTACAGAAGGATGCTGAGGATACCATGGACCAAGCATGTGAGCAACGACGAAATTTTAGAGAAAGTGAAAAGAAGGAAACTTATCAGGAAGTGACAGTTGAAATTTCTATTTTATATAATGAGGAAAGAGGGATTGGAAAATCTGCTACTCACAGGATAGATTGAAGGCAAAAGAGACAGAGGAAAACAAAACATAACTTACTATATATATATATATATATATATATATATATATATATATATATTAACACATGTCTCATTATATGATTTAGACAAGTTTTGTCTATTTATTTTTCACAGGATCCTCTCATAATATCTTAGTCTCTCTTTTAAAGGAAAAAGAAATTTTAAAAATTGTACATAACATTAGCGTTTTTCACTTCACAAGTAAAAATTTAAGTTTCAGATGAACACAAGAATTTTGTCATAGACAAATGATGAACGCAGAAATTTTTTGTCTTAGTAAAAACAACACCCTGATGATGACATTGTGATAATAGCAAAAGTACTCGGAATAAAATGAATAGGCA